CTGAAAGTCCCAAAACTCCTAAATAGACCCGAAAGGTACTAAAATCCAAAATGATTCACAAAAATCTGGAAATAGTCTCGAAAGTCCCAAACACACCTAAATTACTCTCGATAATCCCGAAATAGTCCGAGAGTCCCAAAAATCCCTAAATAGCCCTGAAAGTCCCAACAATACCGAAATTAGTACCGATAATCCCGAAATAGCCCCGAAAGTTCCAAAATTAGTCCCAAAAATTCTGAAATAGTCCCGAAAGTCTCAAAAGTCCCGATATACTCCCGAAAATCCGAATTTTCCGAATTACTCCTAAAAAATCACAAAATAGTCCCAAAAATCTGGAAACAGTCCAGAAACTCCAAAAAATCCCGAAATTACTCCCGTTAATTTCGGAATAGACCGGAAAGTTCCTAAAATCCTAAATTAGTCCAAAAAATTTGGAAATAGTTCCAAAAATATTAAATTACTCCCGATAATCCCAAAATAGTCCCAAGAGTCCCGAAAATCCCTAAATAGTCCTAAAAGTCCCAACAGTCCTGAAATTATTCCCGAGAATACCGAAAACCCCATAAATCCGAAATAAGTCCCAAAAATCTGGAAATAGTCCCAAAAGTCCGATATAAGTCCCAAAAGTCGAAAAAAAGTGCCGGGGTCCCAAAAATTTCGAAATTACTCCTGAGAATCGCAAAATACTCCCGAATGTCCCAAAAGTCCTGAAATTAGTCCCAAAAATCCCGATATTAGTTCCGAGAATCCCGATAGTCGCAAAAATCCCGAAACAGTCCGGAAAGTCCCAAAAACTTGAAATTAGCCCTAAATATCCAAAAATAGTCCAGGAGTCCCACAAATCCCGAGAATCTTGCTATAAATTCCGAAAATCCCGAAAGTCCCAAAAATCCCTAAATATTTTGAAAGTCGTCTCGAAAATCCCGAAAATCTCGAACAAAGTTTCCGGGAATCCTAAAGAATTACGAAATAGCTTTGAAAATCCCGAAATAGTCCCGAAATTCGCGAAACAGTTCCCAAATTGAGGTGTGATAAGTTTAGGTGAGGATGAGTTAAGATTTGGTGGATTTTGGTGTAGCAGTAGGAGGTGTGGTGAGTTTAGGTGAGGTGTGGTGATTTTGTATGTGGTGAGTTGATTTGAGGAGAGGTGAAGTGAGTTGTGGTAAAGTAAGTTGAGCTGAGTGTAAGGTGAGGTGTTAATTCTCTAAATTTCTCCTAAATTAAACAGTATTTAGTTTGAAAGTATTTAGCCATCGACTAAATACCTTGGTACTTTAATGAAAGTATTTTGCATCCCCAAGGTACCTGAGTACTTTGGATTAGAGTATTTAGCGCCTGCTAAATACTTTCATTTTTTGTACTTTGGTATCTAACGGCTCGTAAATACTCAAGGTTTTCTTAATTTAATATCTAATAACTCCTAAATACCTAAATATTTTTTACTTGGGTATTTAGTAGCTCCTAAATACCTAAGTATTGTTTACTTGGGTACTTAGCAGCTCCTAAATACCTAAGTAAATAATACTTGGGTATTTAGCAGCTCCTTAATACCTAAGTAAATAGTACTTTGGTATTTACAACAACACAAAATACCTAAATACTTTTGTACTTAGTTCTTAATACTTGGTAAATATAATTTTGCCCATCACTGATTTGAAAAACGCATTATATATTGCGTTTTTTATGATTTGCATGCAGCTGTGCATCCAAGCCAAGGTAGAAGTCTCTAGGCCCTCTGAGAGCCAAGTTATAAACAAGGGGTTCAAATTTTTTTTCCAGTTTTGAACAGTGGAATCGTGTTGCTCGTCTAAAACTCTATAATATTAGTATAATAAAAAATACATAGATGTTTTGTTTAGGAATATATCCCGTTGATTTTGCATGTTTTTTTTACCAATTTTTTTAAAGTCAAGGGCTAGTTGTGGCTAGATGTCCACAATTGAACGCTTAGCTCTCAAAACCATTTTGTTTCGTATCAAAGTGCTACTTCTGTCGAGAACGCTACGATTAATTCGCATGCAGTGTTCAAAATGCACACTGTGCGGCTTGTGAAAGGACAAGAGATGTATTCTAAAATGTTGTTCATATATTTCAGATATGCGTTCAGCGACAAAATCTATTAGAAATGGCCAGCTTCATATCAGAAAAAAATTTCAACTACTTAGCATGAAATTGTTCCGGAAGTGGAATCACAAAACCAAGAGTGAAATATTGAAATCCTTAACCAACCTCGAATTTCTCGACCAACGCGAATTTCTCCTATTTCAGTGCATTTAAAGTTCCTGAGGCGTCGTTTACTTGTATACCAGCATTATTAAATTCGAAAAAACCAAAGTAGCGGTATGTCGGACGGCGCAAACTTTGTTCGCTGCATCGAGCTTCCCCTTTAACATTAAAATGGGAACCAAATTTCTAAAACAAAAGGAATGGTAAAATAAGATAAACCAGATATATAAACTTTAACAATAATAGGAATAGACTGGCACTTACACACATGTAAATAATAATAATAATAATAATAATAATAATAATAATAATAATAATAACAACACGCTTCGGTGGGAGTCCCACACTCGGGGAAGGTAGTATAGAGACTAGCGCCCCCGGCCAGTGCATAAAGCATTTCCCTCTCCTACGAAAAAAAAAAAATAAAAAATAAAAATAATAATAATAATAATAGATTGGCGCTTACACATATATAGTGTTTAGCCGAGCTTCTCCTCCGGTTTGTGGCGTGCGCCTGGATGTTGTCACACAAAGGAGAGGGACCTACAGTTTTTCGCCGACTCCGAGCGGCGATTGTATTTTTATGAGAACCCTGTTTTTCATGGCAGAAATACACTCGGAAGTTTGCCATTGCCACTATTAGCAAAAGCTTTTTCTGATGTTGGGTTAAACCGGGCGTGAACCCAGATCCTGCGGAATCGTAGCGCACTTCTAACCGCTACACCACATTGTAAAATTAAGTGCCATTTGAAGTAAAATCGGTTCAAAAATGGCTCGATTTGAGCCAAGTTGGCGGGCTTACTTGTGATTACGACGGGTTACGAATAGCACTTACGCGGCTAACAACTGAGCTATTCAAGTACGGTGAGCAGGAGCTGATAAGGTGCATGCATCAACTCTTATGCGCCTTTGGAATTTAAGTGTGCTCTGACCAATCCACAAGAAAAGCGACCCCACCATTTGGGCCAAGTACCGCGGGATCAGCCTTCTAAGCATAGGTTGCACGGTTTTTTAGAGCGCATTGTGTGAGAGACAACGAACTCATTGGGCCTTGACAGTGTGGCCTTAGGCATGGAAAATCGGCCATATACCAGGTGTTCACAATACGCCAAATCTTGGGAATACCCGGGAGAAATGGATAGACACTAACCATCCATTTGCTGACTTTAAAGCCGCTTTCGACAGAGCGAATCGGCATCAATGTATGCATGCTCATGTTAACAGTTAAAATTAAGAGAAAGTAGAGAATTTCGTTTACTTTAACCTTTTGAAAATAAATAATATCTTATCTTAAGAATGTTTAAATTTTAGATTAAATTCGTAAACCATTTGCCAAAATCTTTATTTTTAAATTCATAAAATTTGATTGAACATATTTTGAAATTTTTAAGTGTCCTTGTGTCATATGATTATTTCACAATGTAGGTAGCCAGTTCTACAGTTTTCTATATCGGATATATATGTATTTGCCCATTTAACTACATGTCTTTCAAGTAACTCGAAAATGGAATTTACTTTGGGACCCATGGGCTTCATGACTTTCAGAGAAGTGAGTGTTATCTATTTCTAGTATATTTTGACAATATCGTTGTTTCTTTGGGTAAAAAGAAATATATTTTAGTATTCAATATTAGACGGGGCTTAAAAAAATGATGATTTATTGTTAGTACGCATTTAGAAATAGCCCTCTTCTCTTTCAAAAACAAAAGGTGCAATGGTTTTAGGGTGGGGAGTGGATGGGCCGTGGCCATTAGAAAGAGAATTCAAAAAAAAAAATAAAAAATTACCCTTTCTCTGCTACCGCTTTGCAGACTTCTGGGGACCCATTGGAAAATGGTGTAAAATTAGCATTTTGATAGAGTAAATGTAAACTCGGGTTACGCCAACCACAGGAGCTTTGCGCAAAATACCGTTGTAGGCCTTCGGCCGCGCTAGAAAAAATAACCCTCATCAGTCCAATTCGCTACGCTGACCACAGTATCTTTTACAAAGAAAAACACATTTCAAACCGAATTTATTGATAATTTTGTGTTCGAAAATTTGAGGAACTATTTTAAACTTACGTTTTATCATTTCGCCACACGTGTATGTTAGAATTTTTTGTTTCGGGTTACACGTTTGGACACAATAACCCAAAATTATTGTACATTTTTTGATGCACTTCTCAACTGCCGCTGAGCAAACCTACTAAAGTAGTTAATTGCTGGCACCCCAAATCATGCTTGATGCATCACAACTCTCTCGGAGTTGTCTCACGGGGCTGTGTATTGCCTTCGGCATACAGAGGTGGTACAAGAGCTACCATTGGACACAGCGGCTACCAATTTTTGAACTTAAATAAATAACCGGTGCTCAACACTCCGCTTGACGCACACCCCCAAAAACTCTTACAGAGTTTAAGCGGCAAAGCCACAGCGCTACAAGCCGGAGGGACTCTGCATGACTTACAACCATGCAGACGTGGTAACTGATGGTTATCATCGGCCTCGACGCCTACCCAAAACATTTTTGTTTTAATAAATGTTTATGCAAATACATTCATCATGGTCCTGCCCTCACACTGAGTTATTCACCTCTCAACACAAAAACATGTAAATACTAACGTGATAAATATTGAAAATGCGCGATCCATCCCAATGGATCACGACCCAAATATCACAATAAATATTGAACGTAAGACAGGCGTAGAATGTCCAGCGATAATTTTCTTCGATATGTGGTTAGTGATTTTTGCTGAGCGCTGTGTTGCCTGATCAATGCAATTGTTTCTTGTACTGTTGTCACCGCTACACGCAACCAACCTCAGGACAATTTATCAAATTAATCCAACTTTTCTAGTCTGACTTTATACACAGCAAACTTACCAAAAATTTCCAAAACAAAAAAAAAAGTTGCCAAGCTACCAAGCGCTCAAAAAGTTACCTATTTTGGTCACAGGTGACCAAATGTGGTAACCGTGCTTCTACCGCTTACACTTTGTTGCTTTTTCTATTTTGCCTTAAACAAACAATCGTGGTATAAAGCCCACGGTCAAAATTTTTGTCTTTAGCGTTAGAGTCGCACGTATATTTCTGAAACGGTGCGTAAAAACCGAAAGTTTATCAATTATCCTGATAATAAACCTACATTTTATATACATACGCTTGTTTCTTATCTTTTGTTATTTTAAGGATAAATTTGGTTTAAAGTGGTGTTTAACCTTACATTTCCTTGAAGCCAGTTACATAAGAAAATATAAAAATATAAACTTTTGGATAATACACGTTTATGACAAATCTGTAAATCGAAATATGCGTTCTTTAACGTTACTTACTTACTATGCTTGACTATATTCTCCATTTTGATCGCATGCGAGGCACAACCAAAATGAACCGGCACCGCATACATTGGATGTCAATCTGCACTTGTTTCTAGATGCTTAAAAATGTATATTAACAAATTATATAAAGAGTTGGCGGGTGAGTCAAAGAAATATTTTTCTTCACTCGTTCCACGTTCCCAAACCTTTGAACATATGATTCTTTATTTTGAACTGTGTTACTTATGTGATTGCTCCTGTACTTTTTTAATTGCGACAGAAAAAAAAAATTTGCATCGATAACTTAAAGTTGTGATACACAATGGCTAGAGGCGTCGCACTATAGGCAAAACACGCGTTTTTTTTCAAAATCGTAGATCTTCGCTTAGAAAAGAGATAATGGAATGAAAATTTTTTTATCGTGAAGATAAATGATCATATAATATAGGAAAACTATAGAGAAGTTACAACAACAATAACTTAACTCTCAAAATACCGTTCAAAATGTCACTTTTTTAAATTTTGGATTTACGATCTACGATTTTGAAAAAAAACTTCGTGTTTTGCCTATAGTGCGTCGCCTGTGGGCATTCTTTCATATATGTATGTATGTGCCATTTCTACCGTTATATATTTTTTGTCTACTCGGTTATTCCATGGGGAATTCATGCTTTATTTAAATTAAAAAAATTAAATTACTACACCATTTTAATTAATTAGTGTGTAGTCCAGTATTGTTTTGTAGAAGTTTCGTTAGTATACACTTCAGTTTTTACACATTGAATATATCTGCATATTTATATATTTACGCGTATCTATTTACATTTATTTATGTACAAGTCTACAAAATCTTATTACTTATAAAGCGATTTTTAATCTTCGTTGCTTAATAGTGGTTCCATCAAATTTTATGTGCCACTTTTCCAGATCTATTTTTTTCTTGGTTCTTTGTGAAGATCGCTCCTCTTCGCGTTGGTCGGTAACACCCCCTCGACCTCTATTTTGAGGCGTTGATGCTGTGGTCGCATAGTGGCCTAATGCTTGAGAGCACTTTCCATGTCGGCTACTCGGCCGCTGAAGTTGGCAACATTCATTCATGCACTACTTCCGAGCTACCTGGTCGTTCGCTCCCCAACGGATCGTCATTCCATACAGCACTTAACTCTTCTGGCTCAGACATGTTGCACAATTTATCTAATTTTCGCGAAAAGCTAAAACTACACTGGGTTAGTTGACTACGGACTCGTTTGCGCTGGCCGCACACGGTTGTTGCTCAAACCTGGATCTTCCGAAAATTCTCGCCGCACACCTGTTAAAATAGTCAGTTGGGACAAAGTCTACCCTGTGCTGGACTCCCGTGTCTATCTGGGTAAAGACTGAGCTAACTACCTGATTCTCTAAAGCACGCGTAAGACTACCCGTGATCTGCCTATCCGTATCCGAAAAAAAAAATTTTAAAAAAATCCGAAAACCTATAGAAAAGAATCCATTAAAAAAATTAATCTCAGCTAAAACTCAATAAATCCGATATTATAAACAAAATTACTTTGAAATCTCACGTACTTATGTTTAGAAATATTCCAATCAAAAATTGTAAATAAGAATTTTATAAGTAAAATAGAGGTTCATATGTATGGCGTGTATTAGGTTTAGATAAGTAGGTGTATATGTAAGTTAATCAATAAACAGAAATATGAAAAAAACTAAAAGATATTAATACCAATAAAGAAATTAAGTTCAAAAATAATTCCACGCTTTTTGCTGTTGCCTTTATTCTAGCTTACGGGTCTGCTTATAAACATGCAAATGTTGCTGGGTCGTGTTCATAATATTAGAAAAGAAATGCTTTGGTGTGTGTGGTGTTGCCTTGGCGAGGTCTTGGTTAGAGTAACTCGTCCGTGTGTCATCTGTTCACTGTCGAGTCAACTAATTGCCCATATGTACACATGTACACGTCGTTAAATGTGGCACTACAACACTCGCTGCTTACAACAAAATGTGGTTACCGCACTACCGCAACCTAAGAGTCGATCCCCAAATTGTATGTCACAATTACCTACAGATACCACTTTTTCCACCTCTGCAGTCCAAAAAAGGAACCCTGAAAGTAACTGAACAAGCCCACCAATCGTCATGACAATACTAACTGCTTACGACGGGTCGTCGCAGAGTTGTTGCCATGACTCCCTAATTCCGTCCGAAGGTGAAAGAAATAAGAGTAGATGAAATGCTAGAAATCGAAGTTAGGTTAGGATCGTTAAAGGTAAAGTTGAAGAAAGCGACATAGCGAAAGACCCAGTACTTAGAAAAAAAGGTAAAATAAAAGACTATTGGGCTATTTCGTTGGGCGCCATTTGTTGTGTAGCAGTAGGTTTGCGGCGGGGCGGAGTGGAAAGTCGGCATGCTTGCGATTCCTGGCTGAGCTCATCGGTTGGGGTGGGTTTCTTGCATCCGCTCCACTATGCCACAATAACAAAAAAATAGTATTCATGAAGACGTATGTATGTATATATCTGCTTGCTGGACTGAAAAAAAATGAAACAAAAACAAACGAAGACAAGAAGGAGAAACCGGGAAAGAAGGCCTGTATGGTCAGTGGAGTCTACTCACCCTCTTCAATGTACTGGGTACGCGAAGCCATGGACGCTGTGTTGACTCCTCTCATCTTTGGAGCGTCCCCTATACTGGCCAAAGCCCGTCTCCTTGTCACACCGTCACGTCAAGTCAAACCGTCACGTCATCTGTCCTTACTCCCACGTCCCCTCTCGTGCACAAACGCAACACCCACACCAAAAAAAAAATTAACACCTCATATTTCTCTTTAGACACTTCAATTTATAAGTTTTGTATAACAACCTTATGCTTATCTTTAATAACTGACCCTAGAGCAAATAGTATATCTTAAGTTATATAGAAAAAATATATAAAAATTCAGCAAAGTATTCAAAAAAATATATAAAAAAAACTTAATCTTAATACCGCCCAAGCAAAACTTCAATTTTTCAAAAAAAATTCTAAAATTAAAACGGAACTGAGTATATGTGTGGATGTACGAAAAAAACCTAGTAAAATTTACAACTCAGAAAATAAATTCAACAAGATTTCCAAACCAACAAAAGCTAAGTGGCACATCCTAATGTACTCATATTCTTACATAAAAGTATGCATAAGAAATTCAAAGAGCACAAAACTAAGTTAAACAAACATGATCATTTAATTCTGCATATTAGAATCCGAATGAAAGGCGATAAGGAAAAGAAAAAATACAAATTGCAAACGAATGGTCATACATAGATCCGTAGGCACCCATGTATATATGTATGTATATCATTAATGTACTCTCGTTACGAAAATTGCACAAAATAAACAAAACTAATTTTCAATACTCTAGGTCTGGTATTGATACTGAATTAATTGTGCACATCCACCGGTGCGCATACCATATGCACGTACATATATGAACATGCATACGAATATGGCTGCCAATATATATATAGCAATGCTGGGCACACCAACACAGTCTCATTTTGTCGTGGGAATAGTGCGTCGCGCTCAGTTGTCGTTGCCACGTTTTTATAAATGTACTAAAACTGGTATTTTTCGTGCATGTGTCTTTTGCCCTATTTTGCTTATACGTATAGTGAAATAATGACTCGTGGCAGTTTTTAGTAACTAATGCTATT